GCGTTTGATTGGTCGTATAGAGCAGATTGAGCCGACTGGTTGGAAGGAATTTCTGCAGGTATACTACTACTTATCTGCTTGTTACATGCCACTGATTGTACTTCGTGTAGTTGTGCAACTTTTCATCCTTAGCCCATTATGTCTGCTACAACATCCTCATATTGGGCATGATTGAATGTTCATATTCTTCCATTGGGTAAAATCCTTTTTATTCTCAAGCGTTCTTGCTATTCTCCCATGTACTCAAAAGAAAGAAAAAAGAATTTATCCTGATATTATTTTTACGAAACTCACCTTTGTTGGTTACCTTTATCATTTTCTGGGGATCTGCTCCGAGATCAACTTTTTTATTTTGCAGTTTGGAAATGTTTGCTAATTGAGCAGGAAAAAATGATAGTTCACTTATGTGAACTGTATTTTTCTGAAGTTGTCGCAGAAATCTTTTGGGAAAGCAGCATTCTCTTAAGCAAATCTCCATTCCAACTTATACGACACTTTCCATTTTTGGACTTCCAAAATGTGATGCCATCCCATTTCTGTACAACTTTCAAAATTTCGAGAATTCAGATTCATTAAAGTATTCCTTACCTTAAACTTTGATGTGATGATTTCTCGATCAAACTAAATTTTCAACCACTACTTTAATATTCTTCTTCCACTATCATGAGTATGCTATATAAGTCAAATTAAGATCTTAAACTCCGTATCTAGTCGAATAGCGTCATATAAATTGAAATGAAGGGAGTGTGTTTTAAAGGGAAAGGATTGAGAGAATATTTTTATGAATATTGCCTTGCGGGATAACTGAAATAGGAAATGCTGTTTTTTGAATACTGTTTGATACTTGAACCAAGTCTTTGTTGTAAGAATTTCAAAATAGAAAATATTCTGGAAACTGCAGCAAGCGCCCATGATCTCATTGTTATTTTACTTGGTCTGGTGAATTACTTGGAGGCAGTTTCCCTGTTGAGATTGAAGCCCTTGATTAACTTGTGTCCTAAAACAGAGTTTCAGATTGTTGTTTCATTTTTACCACAAAGCAGAGAAATTACTCATCACTCAATGTCTGCCAGGTCAGCAATGTTATACATGAAAGTAGAGCATTGGATATCAATACACATGTCATTTTCCCCCTGGGTGAAACTGCAGCTGCAATTAGAGGAGAAAATGAACTTTGGCTTGCGATGGTTCTTCGAAATAAATTGTTGCTGGACCTAAAACCTGCACAGCTTGCTGCAGTCTGTGGAAGTCTAGTTTCTGAAGGAATTAGACTTCGGCCCTGGAAAAATAACAGGTAGAATTTTTTTTCTCAAGATGCAGAGTACTATCAGTCTGATTTCAATTCCGACATTGCCTATTCGTCTTTATAGGTTCATGTGAGTGTATAGGTTGGTCTAGCTAGCTCTTGCATACACCTCCAAGCGGGTTTTCCTCCACCATATAAATAAAGGACTCATCCTTTTGAAGAAAATGGTCACCACTGCTCTTCTTTGTCTTAGCATTTCTAAATTAGGATTTAGTGGTCTAGATATTGAGTTACAAGAAAGTTCAAGTTCATATTGGTGACCAACTCATTTCCATGTAAAGCATTATTTTTCATCTCTCTCTCTCCCTCCCTCCCTCCCTCCTGCTCTTCCTCTTATATTGGGTAGAGGATCCACAATAAGTTGCCATTGTCTTACTCCTTGAGAAGGTAGCAAGCAGGACAGTGTCACGCAGTGTTTTGGAGAGCGAGCGCGCGCTTTTTTCATGTGAAGCGCAATTTAATACATAAATAAAAAAATATTAAATAGGCAAAGATAAATGACCAAGAACTTAATTAAAATAACATATTAGGTAAATGTTTCAATTCTTAAATTAAGAAGTAAATAATAGATACTAAAACTAGATAGTCAATAATCCTCAAAAGTCATAACATTTTAATAACATTTTAGGCAAATGCAAAACCAAATCACAAAAGGAGCAACATCCTATTCTTCAACAACCTAAAAAAAAAAAAAAACAGAGCAGAAGCATAGTGAACAGCAGAAATTTAAACAAAAATAAATAGAGCAGAACCGTAAAATAGAAAACAAGGCAGGATAGAAAAGAAGAACTAACAAAAATAGAAAGGAAGAAGAGAAAGAGAAGAAGAGAAAAGATGTGAGGAGTCGAACAGTAGCAGAGAAATTCAGAAGAGGAAGAGAAGAGAAACTTACCTGAGAGAAGACAAGAACTCGAAGGCTTGCAGCAGTTGAGAGAAGAAGAGAGTCGTCGCAGCAGAGAAGCAGATGTGTTTGGAAGAAATGTGCACAAGTGTATTTGGATTTTTTTTTTTAAAAACCCTAGGCAGCCGCTGGACCTCGCTTAAGTGAGCTTTTCTCGCTTTTTTCCATCGCCTCGCTTCTCGCTTTTTTGCCTGAAGCGTGTGCTTATTTACAGATGCTACGCTTCAGGGCAGAAAAGCGTAGACCCCTCGCTTCTGCGCTTTAAGCAAGAAGCGCTCGCTTTTAATAACACTGACTGTCACGTTAGACTTATACAAAAAGAACAGAGTGCAGAGGTTTGGAAAAGTTAGTTTCCAGACCAAGAACCTAAACCTACCTATGATCTTAATGGAGCCTGATCCAACATAGGCTTACAATACCCCTATATGAAGTTGCACAGACTGCAGGTCGTAGTTGATCTGTTCATATCCCTATCAAGGCTGTGGTTTCATTAGTGGCAAGTATTTCACACGATATCTGATACTTTCTTGAAGATTATGTCAAGCAGGAGTCTGAATATCCAGCTGAAATCTAGTGGCGAATTTTTGCGGAGTAAAAAACTTTAAATTTTGATTTCCTTGGAGAACTATTGACATTTGCTGAGACCTGATTTGAAGTTTTATGCAATACTTACTAGTAAGGATTAACGACATACAGTACCCTTAGAGCTACTTTTCCAGAAGGAACGGTATTTCACTTTTACTGCACTCTAGTTTGACTTACACTGGCTTCTCTTTGTTGTGTTACTTGTGTCCTGGTGAATTTCCATAATTTTTGTTGGATAAGGAGGTGAATTTCCAGATTTTAGATGTCATATGTGTTTTACTTGTGCTTGACCTCGAGACTAGTCTATAGTTTGGAGATTAGTAGCTCTATTTGATAGCTGGATAGTTGTGTTGTGGTAGGTACTGATTATCTAATTGAAAAAGTTTTTTGGGTTTCTGAAATAAAGAGGTTCTTATGTGTTATACCATTTATAAATTTGGGCGCAATTTGGGCGAGACATCTGCTTGCGGTTTCATTTAATCCAGAATTTAGTGCGGAGTTCTTGCCAGAGCTTTATACTCCTTTGATAAACTAGGTATTTAAAAAAGGATTGTAGAAATCAAAGCAAATGTTTAGTGAACTTCCAGTATCAGTTCATCATGGTTAAGTTGGCTTCTACACAATCGCCAATGTTTTTTAAACCTCTGTTGAATAGGAAAGATCTGATTTGAAACCTTCTATCTGCAGTTTCGTTTATGAACCTTCTACCACTGTCTTGAATGTCATTGACTTATTGGAAGAAACAAAAAGCTCAATTCTAGAGCTTCAGGAAAAGCATGGAGTACAAGTGAGTTTTCAAGTTTGATTGGAGCCACTTTACAATAGGTTCCAGGTTGGCTTTGCACTTCATTATTATGAAACAAACTTGCTTAATTTCACAGATTCCTTGCTGCTTGGATAGCCAATTCTCTGGCATGGTTGAAGCTTGGGCTTCTGGTCTTACTTGGAAAGAGATTATGATGGACTGTGCAATGGATGAAGGAGATTTGGCTCGCCTTCTAAGAAGAACGATTGATTTATTAGCTCAGGTATGCATGTTGTTAAAGACTAGCAGTCTCTTGCTTACTCTGTTTAAGGAAATCTATATTGCACGATTGCATATTCTTGGGCGACCATTTGCGGTCAATCTTCATTCTGTCTCTCGCGTCTCGTCTCTTGTTTGCAAATAAATCTTTTTTGTACAAGATTGAGAACTAAGTATTACAAAGTTTAAGGGCATACACCTAGGCACCCAGCCCACATAATTAAAGAAAGACAGAGGCGGCCCTACACTTTAGCTAAGTTCCTTATATTCGGTGATTATACAACTCCTTATTTTCAGTTTTTCCTTTCATTTCTTCTTTGTAGTTTTCTTTCTGTTTCATTTTTGCTTTTCTGCATGATTGCAGATTCCTAAATTGCCTGATATTGATCCACTGCTGCAAAGCAATGCCAAGGGTGCATCTAACGTAATGGACCGCCCACCAATAAGTGAATTAGCAGGATGATATAGAAACAAAAATTCATCATCTCCTTAAGGAGTCGAACTCAAATGCAGGTAATCTATAGCCACTGTTCCTGTAAGAGCTATAGAACTTGATCAATTTATTTTCTGTCGACGAGGCTTCAAATTAGTGAATTTCTCATTTATCACCAGCATGTCGATTGATGGTTCGTTCACGATCTTCATGGTTCACACAGTTCAAAGTACTAATCAACTCCCAAGTCTTAACAACTCTTTCACCCTTGCAAAGTAGACTCATCTTTGTCTTCCTTTCATGATACTGATTTCTCTCTCATTGTCCTGAATTTACTGGTCTAAAACCAGTCCCAGAACGGTTTTTAAATTATTGAACCAGGCTCAGCCTTTGCTATAAGAGAGATTGCTCAGAGCAGCAGAGTAGCAAGAATCTAGCGAACAAGTAACAGGTGCAGCTTTGGATAATGGGCGAGGTGTTAAAAACGACAAAATCAGTATCTTCATACGAGAAGTATTATACTGGAGTATGCCGTATACATCTCTAGTAAGGACTAAACCAAACCCACTACATCAGGTTGGTCTATCTGTGTTTCCAGATTGATTGGCAGTTGGTAGAATGACCGCACAGCGGAAATGAAGTATGGATTCAATGTGAGTGAGCATGATTTTCTAGAGTTGATTGTTCACCAATAGACCAGAATGGTATATAATTAGCTTGGAGGATTGTCCTCTATTTTTTCTTGGAGCAACATAGCAATAGACCAGAATGGTATATAACTCGCTTTTATAAAGTGTGATTGTATATTCCATCACAAAAAGAAATATGTTAATTGTAGATCAACCAGAATCTCAGTAAAAATATATATCACTCCATTTCCAAAATGGTCCTGTTGCCCAAACCTCTTTGTTTTAATATCCATAAGCTTCAGCCATTTTGCTCATGTTGTGACATAATTCAGCCTTGTAATCCCCTAACCCTACCCCCTATATAGAATTAAAAAAAAAAAAAACAAGACTTGGCTTGCACAATTCATTGTTTCTCGAAAGTAGATAGAGAACTTGAGTTTCACCACTCATCATATAAAGAATTCAAGTACTTCGTCCATTAAAACAATCCATCTGCATGTTAAAGGATATACTTAAGATATAAATTAACATCAAATTTGTGCCATCTTTTAAGTTTTAGATGAGTAAGTTCACACAATTCAGTTACCACATCTTAATAGCTGCCAAATTTTCAAGTGTGCTCTCCAAGGCCTGAAACCGTTCTACAAACAGGCCACTGTTACATGGATATGGCATATCACAGCGTGAACATAATCAGATCGCAGCAGCTCATTTTCCTTTATCAACAAGACTCAATATTTGGCTTTTTTTTCTATTTAGAGATACCCCAAAACCGATTTTATTTCTACCGCAAAACAATTCGGTAATGTTTCTACTAACCAAATTTATTGTCTATTAGCTACTTTACTTGAATTTCTAGATGCTATGTGATACTCGCACAGCTTGATTATGCTTTTGCGACCAAATACTCGGTCAGTTTTATGGAAAATTGTACCAAACTTGGACAGCAAATTTCAATAACATATTAGCTTAATTTAAGATTAAAAAGCACAAAAAATAGCTCCATTATTGTGGCCTCGCAGTATGGTCCATCCTTGACAGTTATTTCAACACAAAAAGAAAGAGGTTCAGAAAGTTGCACCGAGACGGGAAAGATGAGTTGGCCATAAGAATTTCGGACTCGGGAAATTAGGCAGAAGAAAATAAATACATGAGGAATCTGCTACACTGTAACAAGGAAAATTTCATGAAATTGACAATTATAGTGTTTTACAACAGAGAAGGCAACGATATATACATCAATTTGGGCACAAAATTTAGAGATGATATCCTACAAATTTTCCAAGCTGTTAGCTGGATCATTTATTCAATAGGAAAAAGGTACATAAATCTATGGTAGCGGGGGCCAAAATTTGAATTTCCACAAATACGAGTAGTCGGCTAAGAAACACATATCAGAAGCATAAAGTCAGAAACCTTCGAGAGCATGTAAATTGTGTGAAATTCTACCTTTTGGACTCCATTACTCCATCTTGTGTGTCATAGAACTATAACTATGACTAATTGAATTTGTAGATTACCTTTCTATCATTTTGCAGACATGCAAAATGCACATCTTTCAACTGAAGAGTAATCTGCGGAAACGTTTTACTTTACTAGAACCATTCAAAGACTTCGAGTGGCCATTGGATGAAAATTTGTCCTTCAATGTTCTCCGCCTTTTTCTTGACCGGATCAAGAAATCTTCAGTGTCTAAAACGTAAGAGACCTAGGGCATCCGGAACCACAAAACAGTTAGCAAGAGAGACAAGGCTCTTCAATTTGTGTCTATTACTAACGATAGCTATAGTACCTTTGATGAACTGCATGCTATCTTACATTCTAGACCATTAATAATTTGAATTCCTTCCATAGCTTCACCAGGAAAAGTCTCATCTCCAACTCCATACTTCCGCTTGTTTCTGCAAAGATACGAGCAGCATTAACCATTGATATAAAATATTCAAGAAAGCACTCTCTGTTGATATACTACCTTGTCAAGAACACCCCAGGGTTCTCCTTCTTCTGAGGAATAACAGAGAGGAGTTCATTGCTCAAATAAGCTGCAAAATTCGGGTCCATTGACACCGCAGACATCTCAGGCTTATCATGAACATAGTCCATGAGTTGTATGGATAGACTTGTTGGTGTAGATGACTGCAGTGTGGAGGTCATTTATCAATTAGTTTAAATGGAAAAGGGAATGCTAGGTTCTATATTGGCCACATAACATAAAAGGAAGCAAAGATGTCGCAAAGACTTACACATGCTATTCTGTATATGCTCTCTTCATTAAGAAGAACACGCACATTTTCATGGTAAACTACATCCGAAAATGTGCTAGATTTTCTTGAGGTTTCATACGCATACAGTTGGAGAAGTTTACTTTCCAACTCATCAGTTGCAATTGTCTGTAGCTGCACGAGATGCAGAACAAAATTTTAAGAATTGTACAAGACAGCTGCATACACCAAACAAGGAGAAAATGAAAAAACACAAGCATTTACCTGTTTGACAATTTTGTATATCAGTTTGTCTAAGGTGAAGAGAAGATATGACTGAGCTCCAATAATAGCTCGGCAGTCATCCTCGAACTTTGCATTGTCAGAGGAACCATCCAGCAGGTTATAAAGTGCAGTCATGAATCTGAAACATTAAAGAGGAGCTTAGTCTAATTAAGTACAGATTAATCAAAATGAAATGGAACAGGAAACAAATCACTCAAGTGACCTGGCATATGATTCAGTGGGGTTTATAGCATTTGAGACTCTCCATCTGTGTTCAGATGATGAAGAATGCAATTTTGCTTTCTGTAGTCTTTCATACAACGTCTGTAGTTAAGAGAAGAAACATTAATGTTGCATCACCTGAAGGATTTTTACTACATGATATTAAATAGCCTTACCTGGTGAAGTCTGAAAAGCACATAAAATGAATCATTTCCATAAAATATACGTGATTCCTTCTCCCTGTCATGAAATATAGAAGGAACTTGCTTAGTGAGAGGCCTGGATGTATGTTGAAGACGTTCTGAAAATGGCATAACAGCACCATCTCCTTCAGCATCATGGACATCAGCAGTTCCTTCCACCTCTCCTTCACTCTCTGCCTTGTTATCATTCTCATCATTGTCCCCATCTTCTTCACGCTCTTCTTCGTGAGAACCTTCTCCATTAGCAGACTCACTACCTGAAACATCACAATTTTCAGAAGCATTCTCACTATCCTCTGATGTCCCGTGAGCACTTGCTTCCCTTTCATCATCAGCATCATTCTCACATCCTCTCTCTCCACCACGAACTACTTCTTCTCTATGCCCACTTTGGTACAGCTTACTACTTGAACTTCCCTTTAAACTATGTGATACATTTGGACCACCTTCATTTGATGGTGTAAAATTATCCTCAAAATCACCATTTGGAGTTAATTCCCCCTCTTCTCTCTCAAGTTTACATTTTCCTATGGATTCTTCAAGACATTTCTCAACCTTGACACCTTCTGCTTTTGGGTCCACAAACCCTCCATCCTAAAATCATGCGGCAAAAAGGGAAAAAAAATTAGAGATGGGGGGCAACGACAGATATACTGCAAGCTTAAATAGTATCTGATTGTGGTTTTCTTTTAGTTGTGTCTGTGTGCTTTGGGGTTTTCTTGGGAAAAGGGCTACTTGTGCACTCTCAATGTAATCTGATTACACGCACACTGCGGACGGTTTCACATCCCAAAGAAGCAGAAAACCAGGTATCAGCTTCAAGTTTAGAGGCACTGCAAACAGTATCCAATTAAAAACAAGCCCAAAACCACTTCAATAATGGGAAACCTCTGTATGAGCCCCCTGGGCCATGTCGTGGAGGTTGCAGTGGGTGGAATAAAGATGTCGCAAGATAACCATTTAAGTTCTTAAAAAGCTTTTGTTCCACTAAATAAAAGCGATTCATAAGAAATATACAGCCTTGTAGAGATACTGTCTAGTGAAGGTCCTAACTTCTCTTTTCAACAATATTTTTGCATTCTCAATTCTGCAAAAGCCTACATGTAGGCATATAGTCAAGATTCACTATATATTCCAGAGGCAAGATCCACTATATATCTCCATGCATTTAGTGTTTGGGCATTTTCACGGGTCAGTGTTGGGTGGGTATCTAAACAGCTCAATTTGGGTTGCTATTTTCTGACGGGTTACTTTGGGCAATTAGCCGACCAGCAAAATTGCCCAACCCATAAAATTTTGGGCAGGTTACTTTTGGGGCAATTTCGCCACCCCTAGTCTGCGCCTGACAAGGGAGCAAGAGGCAGATAAACACAGTTCACAGCAGTTAAAAATTTCCTTCTTTTGGCGCCAAGATTTTTTGCCAGTGGTTTATCTAAAGACCGCCTCTTACTTCCTAATTGTTCGGCTTTTTGGGAATANTGGGGGTGGGTGTTACTTCAAACTCATGAATAGGTAAAGCAACTATATAGAAATGTCAGTCTCTATTTGGAGGTTGAACTTTAAAATAGTCAAGTGATCTAAAAGTCTTAAAACACAGTACCTTTGAGTCATTAGAAGATTTAATCTCAAGTTCACATTTGATTGAGGAACTACTAGGTCTGGAAGTACCTGCACCATGCCCTATCAATGGAAAGGGTACATCAAATTTTCAATTACAAAATCCCATGAAGAAAAGTGAAAAATATAAAATGGAAGAGCAATCCAAAGTAGGCAGCCCGTGAACCTGAAGCAGTTTCTCTACAGACTCTTCCATGGCTTTCCTCCACAACCGTGCCGTTTGAAAGCACTAGCTGGTCAGCACCAAAAGCCTCTCTGCTGAGACCAGATGCTGCATCCGCCATGTTGGGATCAGCGGCTGCCTTTCCATGCTGAAGGAGGGTCCTTGAAGTGACGATTTTCAGCGTCACACCAGTTGCATCAGGAGATTTATCATCCTTAAACCCATTTTCACCATCTGCGATCCGAACTCTGGAAGAAATTGAATGCTGAGATGGAGGCTCTTCATCTCCATTCCTGGAACTGCTTTGTCTGCAATTCATGCCTGAGTCACTAGCAGGGGTACCAGCCCTTTCCCCATCAATTGCTGTGTTACCTTTAGCATTTTGATTTTTAGCCTTTACATCTCCACCATCCACTGCACCCTGAGGTTGACGAGGAACACCAAATATTGGTTCCAGGAAGGTGGTCCAAATCTTCATGACTTTATCCAACTGTTCTCTTGTACAAACTTCACTACATGAATACTTAATGATTTGATAAAGGTCTTCATGGATGTCAGAATCAAGATACTCGAACTCCAGA